GCTGTGTCCTCATCACCTCATCATCTTCAGTGTGGGCACCCGGCTGTTACAACTTGCGGCTTCACAGCTGGGAGCCCACTGCGCATGCGTGAGAAACGCTGCACTTTGTGAATGTCCCCCGTAGTCTTCTGGGACCTGTCACGTGTCCTAGAAAACTACGGGGAGAGAGGTGATCGCAGCAGAAGTGGGAGTGGGTATCAAATTCAGGCACCCGCTCCCCAAAGGTCCACAGTCTCTGGTCATCTCCTGTACTATGTCCGCAGTCTCTGGTCATCTCCTGTACTGTGTCCGCAGTCTCTGACCATCTCCTGTACTGTGTCTGCAGTCTCTGGTCATCTCCTGTACTGTGTCCGCAGTCTCTGGTCATCTCCTGTACATGTCCGCATTCTCTGGTCTCCCCTGGTCATCTCCTGTACTATGTCCGCAGTCTCTGGTCATCTCCTGTACTGTGTCCGCAGTCTCCGGTCATCTCCTGTACTGTGTCTGCAGTCTCTGGTCATCTCCTGTACCGTGTCCGCAGTCTCTGGTCATCTCCTGTACTGTGTCCGCATCTCTGGTCATCTCCTGTACCGTGTCCGCAGTCTCTGGTCATCTCCTGTACCGTGTCCGCAGTCTCTGGTCAACTCCTGTACTATGTCCGCAGTCTCTGGTCATCTCCTGTACCGTGTCCGCAGTCTCTGGTCATCTCCTGTACCGTGTCTGCAGTCTCTGGTCATCTCCTGTACTGTGTCCGCAGTCTCTGGTCATCTCCTGTACTGTGTCTGCAGTCTCTGGTCATCTCCTGTACTGTGTCCCGCAGTCTCTGGTCATCTCCTGTACCGTGTCTGCAGTCTCTGGTCATCTCCTGTACTGTGTCCGCAGTCTCTGGTCATCTCCTGTACCGTGTCTGCAGTCTCTGGTCATCTCCTGTACTGTGTCCGCAGTCTCTGGTCATCTCCTGTACTGTGTCCGCAGTCTCTGGTCATCTCCTGTACTGTGTCCGCAGTCTCTGGTCATCTCCTGTACCGTGTCCGCAGTCTCTGGTCATCTCCTGTACTGTGTCCGCAGTCTCTGGTCATCTCCTGCACCATGTCCGCAGTCTCTGGTCATCTCCTGTACTGTGTCTGCAGTCTCTGGTCATCTCCTGTACTATGTCTGCAGTCTCTGGTCATCTCCTGTACTGTGTCCGCAGTCTCTGGTCATCTCCTGTACTGTGTCCGCAGTCTCTGGTCATCTCCTGTACTGTGTCCGCAGTCTCTGGTCATCTCCTGTACTGTGTCCGCAGTCTCTGGTCATCTCCTGTACTGTGTCCGCAGTCTCTGGTCATCTCCTGTACTGTGTCCGCAGTCTCTGGTCATCTCCTGTACTGTGTCCCGCAGTCTCTGGTCATCTCCTGTACGTGTGTGTGCAGTCTCTGGTCATCTCCTGTACTGTGTCCGCAGTCTCTGGTCATCTCCTGTACTGTGTCCGCAGTCTCTGGTCATCTCCTGTACTGTGTCCGCAGTCTCCGGTCATCTCCTGTACTGTCCGCAGTCTCTGGTCATCTCCTGTACTGTGTCCGCAGTCTCTGGTCATCTCCTGTACTGTGTCCGCAGTCTCCGGTCATCTCCTGTACTGTGTCCGCAGTCTCTGGTCATCTCCTGTACTGTGTCCGCAGTCTCTGACCATCTCCTGTACTGTGTCCGCAGTCTCTGACCATCTCCTGTACTATGTCTGCAGTCCAATATTTTTTTTCTTATCTCCCTCCTCTAAAACCTAGGTGCGTTTTATGGAATGTAAAATACGATATATAAATATACAGTTGTGTTCAAAATACTAGCAGTCAGACATCACTAACCGGATCAATCACTGTTTTTGGTGGAAATGATATTTCTACATGGCAGATAATTTCCACAGGTGTAGTAGAGTCATAGAAATCCAACAGACCCAACAGTCATGACATGCATGCTGCTGATTCTGTGTCATTGAATCACTCATTGAAAGGGGCGTGTTCACAATAATAGCCGTGTGGAGTTCTATTAGTGAGGTCATTCATTCTTTGATAAACAGGTGGCAATTATTGCCCTTATTTAAGGAAGGAAGGCAGCAAATGTTGGACATGCTGGTTACAGTGCATTTCTCTCTGAAATTCTGAGGAAAATGGGTCGTTCCAGACATTGTTCAGAAGAACAGCGTACCTTGATTAAAAAGTTGATTGGAGAGGGGAAAACATATAAAGAAGTGCAGAAAATGATCGGCTGCTCAGCTAAAATGATGGCAAATGCTTTTAAAATGGCAACTAAAACCTGAAAGATGTGGAAGAAAGCGAAAAACTACCATTGGAATGGATAGAAGAATAGCCAACAATCAGCTCCAGGAAGATGAAAGAAGGTGTGACGTTCCCTGTGAGGACTGTTACAATTAGAAGACGCCTATGTGAAGCCAAGCTACAGTCAGGTCCATAAATATTGGACATGGACACAATTCTAACATTTTTGGCTCTATACACCACAATGGATTTGAAATGAAACAAACAAGATGTGCTTTAACTGCAGACTGTCAGCTTTAATTTGAGAGTATTTACATCCAAATCAGGTGAACGGTGTAGGAATTACAACAGTTTGCATATGTGCCTCCCACTTTTTAAGGGACCAAAAGTAATGGGGACAGAATAATAATCATAAAACTTTCACTTTTTAATACTTGGTTACAAATCCTTTGCAGTCAATTACAGCCTGAAGTGTGGGAACGCATAGACATCACCAGACGCTGGGTGTCATCCCTGGTGATGCTCTGCCAGGCCTCTACTGCAACTGTCTTCAGTTCCTGCTTGTTCTTGGGGCATTTTCCCCTTCAGTTTTGTCTTCAGCAAGTGAAATGCTCAATCGGATTCAGGTCAGGTGATGGACTTGGCCATTGCAGAACATTCCACTTCTTTCCCTTAAAAAACTTTTTCGTTGCATTTGCAGTATGCTTTGGGTCATTGTCCATCTGCACTGTGAAGCGTCCAATGAGTTGTGAAGCATTTTGGCTGAATATGAGCCGATAATATTCCCGAAACACTTCACAATTCATCCGGCTGCTTCTGTCAGCAGTCACATCAATAAATACAAGAGAACCAGTTCCACTGGCAGCCATACATGCCCACGCCATGACACTACCACCACCATGCTTCACTGATGAGGTGGTAATGCTTAGGATCATGAGCAGTTTCCTTTCCTTCTCCATACTCTTCTCTTCCCATCACTCTGGTACAAGTTGATGTCGGTCTCATCTGTCCATAGGATGTTGTTCCAGAACTGTGAAGGCTTTTTTTTACATGTCGTTTGGCAAACTCTAATCTGGCCTTCCTGTGTTTGAGGCTCACCAATGGTTTCCATCTTGTGGTGAACCCTCTGTATACACTCTGGTGAAGTCTTCTCTTGATTGGTGACTTTGACACACATACACCTACCTCCTGGAGGGTGTTCTTGATCCGGCCAACTGTTGTAAAGCGTGTTTTCTTCACCAGGGAAAGAATTCTTCGCTCATCCACCACAGTTGTTTTCTGTGGTCTTCTGGGTCCTTTGGTGTTGCTGAGCTCACCGGTGCGTTCCTTCTTTTTTAGGAATGTTTCCAAACAGTTGTTTTGGCCACGCCTAATTTTTTTTGCTATCTCTCTGATGGGTTTGTTTTGTTTTTTTTCAGCCTAATGATGGCTTGCTTCACTGATAGTGAGAGCTCTTTGGATCTCATCTTGAGAATTGACAGCAACAGATTCCAAATGCAAATAGCACACTTGAAATGAACTCTGGACCTTTTATCTGCTCACAGTAATTGGGATAATGAGAGAATAACACACACCTGGCCAATAGAAAACGGCTGAGAAAGCCAATTTGTTCCCCATTTACTTTTTGGTCCCTTACTCAAGTTGGAGGCACATATTAGCAAACTGTGTGTAATTCCCTACACTGATCACACCTGATTTGGATGTAAATACCCTCAAATTAAAGCTGACAGTCCTGCAGTTAAAAGCACAATCTTGTTTGTTTTCATTTCAAATCCATGTGTGGTGGTGTATAGAGCCAAAAAGTGTTAGTTGTGTCCATGTCCCAATATTTATGACCTGACTGTATCTGCATGAAGTCCCCCCGAAAAAGTCCCACTGTTGGAAAAAGACGTGTGCTGAAGAGGTTACAATCTGCCAAAGAGAACATTGACCGGCGCTAAAGAGAAATGGTGCTACATAATGGTGGACTGTAGTGAAAGTAAAATTGTTCTCTTTTATTTTGGGTCCTAGTGCGACGGAGACAGTTTTGGTCAACACCGACCCCAAACCACTGAATCCAGCCATAGTACCACTGTGAAAGACCGTAGAATCATGGTGGTGGCAAGCATCATGAAATGAGGATGTTTTCTCATACTCAACGGTGTTTGGCCCTATTTTAATCCGCATACCAGGGATCATGGAATCAGTTTTGAAATCCCATCAGAATACTATGAAAGAGGTCATCGCTTGCCCTTATGCTGGAAGAGGAAATTGCCCTTTGAAATGTGTGTGTTCCAAAACAAGAACAACGACCCCAAACACACCAATAAAACGTGCAACATCTTTGGTTTCCAGATCCAACAAGAATAGACGTTAAGGAGTGGCCAAGCCCAATCCGCCGGATCTTTCATCTACATCCAATAGAAAACTTGTGGGGATGACATCAAAAATGCCGTTTCTGAGGCCCAAACCAAGAAATAGAGAAGAACTGTGGAATGTGGTTCCAATCCATCCTGAGGGCTGGAATCACCTGAATCACAGGGCCAAAGTTGGGGACTCCATGCAACAACAGATGTACAGCAGTTCTCAGAAACAGTGCACTTACACACAAATATTCATAGAACGTCATTCAAAGGAAAGCAAAATCTCAACATTTCTCCGTTTTATATAGTGAATGTTGGAGTTTGTAAAGAAAATACAAACACGGCCATTTTTTGAACCGTCTAATATTCACTTTTCTTCCATTTTTTTAGAGAACAACACAAATTGTTTTGATTTGGCTTACATGTTTGTTGATTTGAAGAGAATGTGTCGTGTTCCCAATGCATTTTATTTGGATGGAAATAAAGGATTAAAAGGATTTTCACTTATTCTTTTTTCACTTTTTCAACACACTGATATTATTTGAACACAACTGTATATATATAATGTTTATCAATTTATACAGTTGGGAAAAAAAGTTTGAACCCCCTTGGGATTACGTGGAGTTTTGCATGAATTGGGCAAAAAATGGGGCTTGAAGTCATCTAAGTCAAAAAATAGAAACACAGTCGCGAACATAATCACACAAACATTCGTGTTGCCCGGTTTATTTTACAACATGTAAACATTCACAGTGCAGGGGGGAAAAAGTATGTGAACCTTTGGGACTTTAAAAACTGTTGCCCCCCTTTGGCACAATAACCTCAACCAAACTTTCCCGAGTTGCAGATCGACCCACAAGATTGGAGTAATTTTTTTTGGAAACCCCTCCCTTTACAAAAATTTTCAGTGTAAATATTCTTTGGGGTGCTGGTTGAACGCTCTCTAATTTTTTGCCACGCATTTCAAAGGGGTTGAGGTCAGGACTCTGACTTTGGGCCCCTCCAGAGGCATTCTGTGCTTTGCGCCATTGTTTTTTTGAATGATTGTATGTTTGGGGCTTGTCCGTTGCATCACCCTTCCCGCGGACTTCAGTTGCGGACAGATGGTCTACTTTTCCCGCAAAATGTCTTGAAAACTCGAAAATTTATTTTT